ACTGGAACAGGCTGCCCAGGGAGGTGGTGGAGTCACTGTCCCTGGAGGGGTGCAAAAGACATGTAGATGTGGCGCTTAGGGACATGATTTGGTGGTGGCCTTGGCAGTGCTAGTTAATGGTTGGATTTGATGATCTTAAAGGTCTTTTCCAACCAAAATGATTCTATGATTGTAAGTCAAAATCTTTCTTGATTGTATTCTATGATTGTAAGTCAAAAGGTATGATCGGAATAAAATGCTTTTCTAGTGTAGCATGGTATTCCTACGTGGGAAACTGTATTACTGAAAGACACATTTGTAGTAAGAAAGCTACACCCGAACTAGTTTATATGGGGAAGAAGTTAGCATGGTACCAGTCTGTATATACCAGGGCTGACCTATCTCAGGCACAGCATGACAGGTACCTATGCTGGTTCCACTGGTCTCTTCTCCAGTCCCCAGTAATAAGTCTGTGTGTCAATGACAACATTTCTCTCTATATCCATTTAGCTTTTGTAGTCACCACAAGAAGCTTCTGCCTGAAATATCTTGGAACAGAGTCTTAATTTCTAAACATGTAAACAAAATAGAATCTCTTAAAAATAGAACTGTCAGTCAGCTTTCTTTAAGTTACATTCCCTGGAAATTCTTCACTTGTTATTGGTACTTCATTTCCCTTACCTACCTTAAATTGCCCCTCTATACATTTCCTAATACCTGAGCATATAGCCATACGTGGGGACAGTGGTTCAGGCTGGCTCACTTAGAAAAACTTTAGGCCTCAGGCTTAGCCTGAACCACTGTCCCCACAGCCATATAATAACAACTCCTCCTTTGACAGGATTAGCGATTCTAAACCACAACTTACCAGATCCTTATCAAGCAAACACACCTAATTGCAGCCAGCCTGGCAGAATATCACACTGAAAAATGCATCTGACCAGCGACAAAACCCCAAAACAGGTCACCTGCTGAGTGTCACCCGTACGTGTGCACATGAACTGCATCTCTCTGTTTTCACAGATAGCTTTTAAGTTGTCACTCAGGTTAAGGAACTCTGTTACCCTTAAAATGCCCTCCTTTCCACCAAGGTTCTAAATTGCCAATCACTGATAGTTCCACCTGAAAGAAATGAGTCCTGTAAGTGCCAAAAAATAAAAGCTGCTAAAGTTTCAAACTCAACTGTAATGATTTCCCCTTAATTAATGAGAAAATTTCCATGAGATCTTGAAGGGTTAGGTTTTTTGTTCTTTCTTATGTTATTAGCCCAAGTATAAATGCAGGGGATTAAACTGATTAAGTATTTCAGATTTCACTCCAAGAACTGACATGTCCATTTCCTTACCTGACTCCTTCATGGGACACAGGGCGCACTGCATGCCCCAGGCCTCACCGTACAGGCAACAGCACTCGGTGTATGTGGTCTGCTTTCCAACCAGGGGTCGACTACAAACAAAATCATCACTTAGATGCTGCCAGCAAAGATCCTGGTAGACCTCAGTTTCTTCTGTTTGTTCTGATGGAGGAGACAGCATTAGATCATCACCACAGCACTGTTATTTAAAATAGATACTGGCATAATGCAGGATTTTCTAAACTTAGATTAGAAAAATAACCCAGCTTTACAGACTTTGCCGACTACAAATTTAAGCTTAGAAGTCGTGACCCTTTTTAAGTGCCCGAGGTGGCTCACCCTTTGAGTGTTCAGCTTTGCCAAAGTCTTGGAAGGTTCTGATTGGGCACTATCAGGCCAAGTTAAAAGTACACTGGGTTGGACACCCAAGAAACAAAACTTCCTAAACCAGCAGTCAGTGCTGAACGCTTAACACTGACTCAGCTCTGCTCTCAGGGAACTTAACAGAGCTTGACAAGAACTAGCGTTAGGAGAGAGGGGAACGTTTGGGGAACCCCATCCACGGAATGAATCTTGAGAAGCTGTTATTTTGCTTCTCCTTACGTTGCCGTCAATGGCATCTGAAGGAACTTTTACGGCTAGGGCAGAGCTGAACAAAACTTTTACATGGGCTCAACAGGAGACTGGACAAATACTTGGAAGAGAGTCCCATTAACTAAACAGACAAACTACATCAGGCTCAGGAAATCCCCTGAGCTGAAAATAGCTGGAGGCTGGGAGAGCGCTGGGGAGGGTGAGGAGAAGTATTGTTTATCTGCTCCTCTGGTCCCTAATCATCCACTTACAGCTATTGTTAGAGACAGAATACTGCTGGGAACTACTGTCACATTCTTAGGAACATTAACAAAACCATGTATTTTTGTCAAAGCTGGAATATTTCAGAGGCATACTAGTTCTGACAAAGATCTCGGTAGGAACAATTCCTGGTCCTAGCAATCTCTGAGCACTGCTGATCAGAGGGAGAGGAACTGTAAATTTAGTCTTCCACTTGGAATGTAAAAACCTCAGCACAACTGTTTTGTAAAGACATCTGCAAGGTTCTGATTTTGTTCCAACAGAGTGAAAAGTGTTGTCACAAACGAAGGTTCTGCTTTGTCTGTGCATCTCTACTCACTGCATTTTAGATGGTGCACTGCTGCACGGGTGAGTACAGAACTGAAAGCTAGCTCAAGAGCGAAACAGCAAGGTCTGAAAGGGCAAAGGTGATCAGCCTTTAGATGCCTGTCCTGTAACAGCTTGCCAGAACGTGCAGTGAAGAGCAGCAGTGGGTCTCTGCAACCAACTCCAAGTTCTGCTGGCAGCAAAGGAACCAGCCTGCCCCCTCCTCCTCTGCGGTGGGGGGGACACTGCCAGCAGTAACAGAAGGCTTGAGCGCTTTGTGCTGGGCGAGGTCATTGTTGCTGGGTCAGCCCCAGTGTCGCGTGACGGAAGACCCTTTGGGCCTTTGCCTTCTCTTCACGGCCTAGGTGAACCCAGAGAACAATCCTGCTCTTGGTTTGTTTAAGGGAAGACTGAACAATAGGAACGCTGTGGTTCTTTCACAGTTTCAGGCAAGAGGATGACTATGTTACTCCTCAAAAGTATCAGTCTTATAATCTGGAGTGACTAAAGCAGGCATTCAGTCTGTACTCCCATTTCCTTTCACAGAAGCATCTTAGGAAAATTCATTGCATGGATTTATGGCTACACAGTGCCAATATTAATCAAACCCATTGTAACATTTCTTTCAAAGCTGTGTGTGGCACAGACAAAGCTGTGCAGGCTGCATAATGCTCTGGATTTCTGAGACGTTTCTAAGAATCTCGTAATATCTAACATTTTTTCTGAAATCAGTGTCTACTGAAATTAAAAGAATATGCAAACCCCTTACTTTAACAGCGACACTGCAGCCCACAGCTTTAAAATGTGAGCTCAATGTACCCTCAGTATTAATCAATTGAAAGCACGGATGCAATTTCAGCTATTTCCTCCTATATCCTGTTATTCCTGGTTTTATTCCTTGCTTTGTCAGAAGCAGCCACTCACTCTGAGCTGAACCTCCAGAGTTTGCCCGCAGCCAAACGCCAGCCGTAGTGAGACAGCAAGCAGGCTGCGCCTCATTACCCGCCAGGCCGGACAAGGCAGAGGCAGAGCTGGTGACTCGGGGGGCTGAAGACTCCCCAGCCCAAGCCTAATCTCTGAGTGCTTCCAGCAAGTCTGCACTGGCAAAGTGGAGCCCTGGGGAATCCCACATCACGATGCCTTCCGGATCAACAGATGACGGTCCGAGCATTGCCTTCCAAAATCCTCCAGAAGAGCAGGCTCATCCAAGCATGACCCAGCCTAAGCTTACTGGGGTCTGCAGCCACGCCAGCACCACCTCGGAGAGGCGTACTCACTTCGGTAATAGGTATAATGGGTCATACCACTGGAATCTGCTGGTCTGATGCATCGCTTTTCTGTTGCGTCCAGAACCATGGGGTGTGTACAGAAACAGTTGTAAGATCCGTCTGTGTTAATGCACTGGCCATCAATACAGCTGTTGGGGTCCTGACATTCATCCGTGTCTTTAAAATGGAAGGAAATGTATCAAGGAGAGCCAGCACAAAGCAGTGTTTCTATTTTCCTACGTTAGGAGCAGATTGCCCTGCATGCCTTCTGTTAATTACCACAAATACCAACTGCTGGCAGCAAAACCCTGCCTGTGCCCAGGGAGAAGGACAGACCAGCGGGATGCCGACCTCTGAGCCTCAAGTACTAGGGAGCATCTGGATGAGGAGGCTTCTGGGGGGCTGGAGCGCCAGGCGTACCCTGCATCCAGCACAGCCGCAGCTGGTTCCCATGTTCCCGTCCCTTCAGGACAGTACCAGCGGGCATCAGACGTGGGCATACTCACTGAGATTCTTCAGGAGAAGGGATCACCTTCCCTAGCCACAGTAGTTCTATTCCTTAGTTTGTCTTGGAGAGGAAAAGAAGAAATTTAGCTCAAAGGGAAGAGCAGGCCATTTTACTTGAAATAAATGACATTAAATCAGCAAAACCCCCACCCTTTGTAAAGAACAATCACAGAATCCCAAGGTGAAAGGCTCTCCTGTTGTGGTTACAAAACTTACTTCCTTTCATTATGCTATTCTGCACATTATACATGGTTTTCTGCTTACAAAGCAAAAGCCAGGGTCACGGTTATGAGTAATTTTCAGTTGAATACCAGAACCAAAGGAGTACAAGGTTCTGCAGACTAAAATGGGCTTATCAATGCCCTGAATGGTAATTTCATGTTGCTTATTAACTCCTTGTGGAAAATAATCTGTCCTTGAAAAAAACAATCTGCACTGATTTGTTTTATTGTAGTAAACCCAGCACACTTACCAAATGAAAGGTGAGCCTCAACATCCAGGCTTTCAGTGCTCGCCCCCCACCCAAAGGGCACAAGGCCGAACTGCCTCGTGGCAGAGCGAAGCAGCGCCGCGCATATAAGGAGGGAGCCACCTCCGATCCCTTCGTGCTGCATGCACAAAGGCCGATACCAGCTCTAGGCTATGCACTCCAAGGGGCACAAGGGGCTGTTTTGGAGATGCAAACTCCTGGGAGCAATTTGGTGGAAAAAGAAGCAAATAAAGCAAACCCTGCTCTGCATGCCATTGCCCTGTCAGCCAGAGCTGCTGCCCAGCCAAGCAGAAGGGAAGGGAAATGACCCAATGCCTCTTAGAAAGCTGCTACAGGAGTTGGGAGGCCCAGCGTTCCTCCCCTTGCTGGGAATACCGCAGCTCTGATGGGAGCCCTGCCGTACGAGTCTGCTTGCTTTGCCCCTGTGCATGCCATTAGAGTGACAAGACCACTTTAAATAAACTTACCAAAGCACTGCAGCTTAACAGGGTCGTAGTACGTGCCCTGTTTGCAGTAGCACTCGTAACCTGGCTGTGTATTCAAACAGAAGCCATTTTTACAGATTTCTTGTCCGAAGAGTTGGCATTCATCAGCATCTGGGGAGAAAACCATTAAAGGCTGTGTTAGCACAATTACCATGAGGCCACGCAGAGGAGCAGGATGGAATGAAGCCTGTACACGTCTCTGTTCAGGCAAACTTTGCTTTAAACAGAGGGCCTCAGGGGCACAGATACTCCGCAGGAAAAAACCTGCTGTGGAAGAGGCTACGGTGTGCTCGTAGCCAGAATGGGAAAGGGAAACTGGTGGACCGTGACTTTCCCTTTCCCTTGTCAGGGTAAGTCCTGTGGCACACAGAGACTGGAATAACCTCAGCTCCCCTCTCTTTCCTGTGGCGCCCCATTGCCCTTGGCTCCCAGCAAAACTGATGAAGAACACGGCCCGCGTTTTCCAGGGTAACTGGCTTTACCCCCGGGATTCCCACCATGGATCTAGTTTAATCGCACCACCTAATTACAAACCTAACGAAGCAGTTGTGCCTATGGGTGGACTTGCGGCCGCTCCCCTCTCTGCACACAGGTTTGGTGACTGCTGTGCGCGGCAGGGAATCCTCCTGCCCGCGCTGCTGGTCACGTCGTTGTGCAAAGCTGTTCGCACCACTCCTGCGGAGACTCACCAGCGCGGAGGAGCAATCGTGTCTGTTGCTAAGTAGTACGGCTGCAACTGCCGTGGGCCTAGCGACAGCCAACAAAGAGAACCTACCACGCTTTCAGATGGGGCTACATGTTTTCAGGGAAGTTCCAGGGAAAACAGATGCCAGCTCATATACAGCTTTTCACAGTTGTACGCGTTTTTCCCCAGTCTTGTATTTATGTATTTGTCACTGTTGGAATTCCATTCGCTTCCTTTTTTCGACCTGACTTTTCATTTGCTAGACCTACCTAGAACAGTCTGTTAAAGCTAGGCTGATATTAAAAATGGCAATCAAAAGCACAATTTAAAGTAGGTGATTCTCCTCTCAATACCACCCGTCTTAATCCACTGTCTTGTACAGATTTACTCCCCATTTACTCTGGGACAACACAGATACTAGCCCAAAGCTGTCATTTCCAGCTGTACAGCAGTTTTAAAGGTGAATTATTCAAATGCTTACTTTTTCCAGAAGAACTGTAAGTGCTATAGAGCTATTTATTTTTACAGTCACTCTTCCAGCCACTAAGTGGCTTCAAGCATTAAATATTTTATATTTGACTCTCAGCAGCAAGAACAATGTAAAGATTAGTAAGAAATGTCATGTACATGCCTGTCTTTTTCCTGTGGAACATGGATTTGTGTCTGGGGAAAAATGGGAAAGCCTGGGAGTAGAGACAAGGAAGGCTGGCTGAGTGTATTCACTTCTGACAGGTAATTCTAATTAAGAAAATACGAGTTGCTCCTACAAGCACAAGCTTGTGGACAAAAGCAACAGGAACGTAGGACTTAGTGTAACAGAGAAAGATCAAGTTTCTAAAAGTACTTATCAATGTATGGCTTGTCCTTTGTGCGTTCCTAAGGTTAGTACAAAATAAACTTACGGAAAACAGAAAAAGTCTTCTTATGGCAAGGATTTGTGGGAGGTATTTCCAGATGAACTATTTCCACCTTTCAGTATTTATGGTGGCTAGAGATACTGTCAGCCCTGAGGCAGCACAACCAAAGCAACACAGGTTTTCTCAGAGACGCATTTGGACCCACTGCGCACACACAGCACGCCCCGAACCCACCCTGCACGGATCTGCAGACAGCTTAGCTCTGCAGGGGTGAACACCCCACTTAAACATTCCCTCAACAAACACACGCGCAGAGAGTATTCGGTTGGTTGAGGTGAGCTGGGTGGCAGTGTTTGGACTTGTCTAGGTGTAAACAGTCAGTCTGTCCAACACTGGTCCCTGCTACCATCGGCTCAGGTCTGGAGTCATCCCGCAGCCCTTTGTTCTTTACTCCAAGTTGGTGGACAAAGCAGCACCTCCAGAGAGTGGAGGTCTTGCACGAGTTACCCCATTTAAACGCCCACAGTAGTTTGAACGAGGCTGGAATCGGGGCCTTAGAACCTTTAGTATCTTTTCCGTGTTCCATGCTGCTGAGGGTAACACAAAGATTTATCAGTAGGACAGAGAACTGAACTCAACTATGGCCTACTCACTAACTCGACAGGAAAACCGACCTAGTAGTGTCCTACTCGGTGAGGAAGGATAGTCCGAAAAAGTACACATAACAATCCTTAGGAAAAAAAAAAAAAAATAAAAAAATCTTTCGAGTCCCACCAGTTTTTGTCATCTCTCAGGATTAGGTCTGGCAGATTAGTGATTTAGCTGGAAGCAACTCTGACAAATGCTTATCCATCAACCATGTGATACTATGCATCTATCGAGGTCTTAGTAAATTTTAGTAAATTAGTAAATTTTACCGCATTTTTATGTGATAGAACACACAATACTTTGTACATTTAGTTCTTGATTTGTCAAACAGCAATTCCAATAGGAACAAAGATAAAGCACATGCTTTTGTAGAGATCCCGTAGCTGCTCTGTAACCCAAAGGTAATACGTTGACTTCATTTTAGCTAACACAAATACAGTGTGTTTATGCCAAATCTCACAAATTATATGGATGGCTATTTCTCAGACTTGAAAAGGAATTTTACTGATCTCACTCCTTCTTAGCGATGCCAACTCTCTCCCGCCCACACCCACCAACTCCTTCCATCCCTCATTTTTCTCTACAATCTTTTGTTCAATAATTATTCCATGAAGTTCTGTAATGAAAACATCGTTGCTGAACTTCTCTTCAGTTTTTATATTCATTCTCCCTTGTAGGTCTAATGTTTAACAGAGCTTTTCTCCTCTCTCCCAACACCCCACGCATGTATTTATAAACTTAAGGTGGCTTTGTGTTTCGGATGTAAATGCGTATTTGAGGGTTAGTGGTCTCAGCACCCACCCTCACAGTATACAGCACTTAGTATAAATTAAACCAGTATATTACAGAGACTGTATAATTGACATTCCTAACAAGCTCTCAAAGTATGATTTTCGGTAATGTTTCATATGACAAGCTGGTTTTGTCACCTAATAAAATTTGGATTAGCATGTTTACATTGCTGGCTCACATTTCTAGTCGATCAACTACGAGAACTTCTGAAATAATTAAACTTAATATGAGTCAGTACTGACCTTTGTAATTCTGAGCAAGAAGCCCATAAGATGATTCTCCTGAGGGAATGAAACCTTTTCCTTCAGGGCACAAATCAGTAAATTCAGCTAGGAGAGAGAGAAAACAAAAATTATGTCGTTAAGAAAAAGTTACTCCCACATGTATCTCACAGATGTGTTTCAGGGTATTTTGAGAGACCTGAGGCGACGTTTTGCCTTAGCCACACCTCCGGCTAAACGGGAGATGCTCACAGCACAGCTCTCGGATACCTTTGCAAAGCCTCGCTAGGGCACCCACAGCACCACAGGGCTCGTGCAAACCAGTTTCTCTTGCTCCTTGGCAGGAGAACGTCATCCTTACTGGGTTTCATGGCGCACTGCAGTTATAACAATACCAGTAGCCAAATTATCTCAATTAAAGCAAGCATGGGCCTCTCTGAGCTATACTGCAAGCTGCAATCTAGACGTACCCCAGCTGAGACACAAACCCTGTCCACATTCTTCAGGCCCTATACAGGAAAAACACTAATTGACTGCAACAGGAGAACATGGTGTGGATTACAGAGGGAAATGATTTAAAGTGTCTGGGAGACAATACAGAATCCAATAAACCTATCCAAGCAGAGAGGCTCTTTTTGTAATGCATTTAATTTCAGCTTCACTGATTCTAACAGAGAGTTAAAACAGGAATTAAACATGATGATAGGTTTGTGTGAAAAGTAAACTTCAGTGTTTAATCTCAAAAAGTTTACACATGTTCTCTCTTACGTGATTTTTTCCAGCTGGATTCTGAATTTCAGCCATCACCATTTATGTTTCAAGTACTGTTTTCAATCTTTGTGACAAATATCATATGGCTACGTTTTTCTAGTTTAATACTTTGAGGTTAAACAATGGTCTGCAGACAACATGATTAACTGAATTGTTCAGTAAGTAGCAAAATGTAAAACTAATGTCATAATATACATCAGTAAGTCGTCGTGCTGTAGAAACAACATTACAAAGAATAGCTGCAGACTCAAAACCACTGTAATGCCTACCTTTGTGTCCCAGCTTGTGGGAAAAGTCTAACATGTTACCATAGCATCTGGAAAAAGCTTCCGTGAGAATCCACCTTTGTTTAAAGTCACTTGGAGATAAAGCTGTTCAGTAACGGGCTGGTTTCATCCCAAGGGTAACTGCAGTGAAGCCAAGGGATTTACACCAGGTATGAATTATTCCTATTAACTTTTCCTCCGTGGAAGTCTCCCACGGCTGAGTCATGACTAAATGCTACAGAATATGGGATTTAATGGGCAAGCCTTCTCTGAAGGCTGCCGTTAACATCAACACAATGCTTCAGAAGTCTGCAAAGGGACGGAAGGCCTCCTCTTACCAGTTCCAAAGACAGGGCATGGGAAGATTTCACAGTTGTCACCCCAGCCAGCACCCAAGGTGCAGCAGCATTCTTGTTTGGTGACATTGGACGTAAGCACATTGTCACAGAAATTCGCATCGTTCAGATTGTAGTAGCACTCCTTCTTTCCATCTTCGTGCTGGTCACCCTCGATCGGTAATTCTGAAGGCGGAAAGAAAACATAAACCACATCAGAGGACGTGCGAAAGGAGTCGGTCTTACAGGAGAATCAGAAGACCCACAGCACCTCAATTTCACGGCAGTGCGGAGCAGCACTGTCAAGCAGGGAAGAAAATGGTTAAGTACAAATTTTGGTTAAGTTTTCTTGTTCTTAGGAAGAGTGACGGAAGTTGATAACCTTCCTCTGACTTTTTCAGAGCTGTTCTCCAACTTGGCCACAAAGGGATTCTTCGCACTGGCGCTTCGTTCATCTTTAAGCCACGCAGGAACTCCCTGCTCTCGTGCTCAGCCACCGCCGTGCCCGCTCCGACACAGTGCTTTCACGTACGGATCCGGAAGCTCTTTACAGAGGTGAGCAAACACTGCAGCCTCATTTTCCAGATAAAGGAGCGGAGGCACGAACTGAAAAGGCCCGATTTTCAAAAGGATGAACATTTCGAGCCCTTTTAATTTCACTGGGGAAAAAGCATGTTCCACCTTGAATCCAAGGCCCTTTCCGACTTTTGCAAAAGTAACTGACTGACGTCGCGGTAAGCAGAGGAACACAATGCAGATGTGAAGGTAACTCACTCTCTGCTCCACTTCCAGTCAGGAAGTCAGACTTTCTGCCTTTAGGAGCGTGTCCTCCAATGGTGTTTATAAGGACTGGAGGCAAAATAGTCTCTCCCAAAGATCCAGTAGAATCTCTGTTAATAGTCAAAGGCCTTTCTAAAGCAAGGCGCTCCAAGTACACCACGAGGTGAGCTTGAGAAGAAATACCAGTTAAAGCTTCTGCGTTTGCAGAACTCTATCTAACCTTGCACCTCCACAAAAAATGTCATCCAGAGCTCAGAAGGGGGAACAATCACGTAAAATGGTTATTGACACTTGGTCAATACGAGAAACTTACCATAGGCCATCACAAAGTCACCGAGTTCTAAAATGACAAATGCTCCCATTTATTAATCAGACGCAAAACTTTGTTCAGGAACACAAGACAGATAAATCTTGAGGCGATCAGTTTATTTTCTTTTTATCTTGGGAAATTCCTTATGCTTAGCACTTAACAAATGTTTAATTCACAGAAACCTACTAAAAACTATCACATGCTGGCTGATTTTCCATTGTTTGAGATTTCACTCATTCCTACTCAGGCTCTCGCACGATATGCCAAGCACGAGACACTGCTCGAGCAACACGTGTATCCCGGTGGGAATCAAAACCTCATTTTATACCTGACTGACAGTGCATTTCAAAATGCCAGGAGATCAGTAAGACCCAAAGACTTGTGGTGTATAAACTCCCTCTGTTTGCCTTTCTTTGCGAGAAAGAAGAGCTTAAGGCTGGCCCGCTTACAAGTACTGGGAAGCCGAGTTTCCTTGACCACCTCATCCATCTGCCTCTGTCACAGCTCAGCCTCTTTATGCCAGTTCCAGGATGGATTTTCTTCTAATCCCATCCACTTAAAAATAATGGCTGTGAGGTGGGAGCTCAAAGAATAGCGATTGTCCAACCAATGCTGAAGGAGTTACATGAACTCCAGGCCACACTACCTCAAGCCTGTTCCCCTGCCCACCCACACTCCCCCGGGCAGGTGGGCCAAGGCAGCTTTACGCAGCAAGCACTGGATCTGCTTTGAGAACAGCAGGTTTCACAGTGCCAGGACGGACTGCCTGTTGTTGCACCTCCGTTGTACGGCTGTGCATAACAGTTCTTGGGGCTGCTAGCTCCAAACCAACAACTGGATTCCCTTCTGTTTGCCTCAGAAAACCGCCCGTGGCTGTCTGGGAGGCTGAGGGGCTGGCAGACACCTCTGTTCAAACTCAGTGCAACGTTGCCACCTACAAGGCCAACCTTCCTTGGCTGTTTCGCCGACATAACGAAGTTGTACACTGAAGGAAACGCCCAGCTGCGTGCTTGTTTCATCGCTGTTAGTTCAGCCTGTGGTCTCCCCTCATCAGATAATTACGATTTTCCACACTGTGCTGAATTTCATAGCGCGGCGGTTTTGCGGCACCAGCTGCTCTCCATAGGAACGACGGTCAGGCTGTCTTGTCACAGAAAGGCAACCGAACTCAACCTGTTATTCCAAGGTGAGAGCGAGCAGTACTTCAGCCACCAAATTATACACTTTCCTTGGCCACTTGCCATCTAACTGAATCAAAGCCACATCTTCACAGGAGAAAAAGCACGGCAGTCTTCATGCTGTTCACCAGAGAAAGCAAGCTGCCCCGGGAGGAAGGGGAGACAGGCTCATCAGGTCATTGTTTATTCCCATTTTACATATGATGTGTTGGTTTCTCCTCCCATTATCTGCTCAGCAGCTTAAAAGTCTGTTGTTTACACAGCTGTGACAGGGTTAGTCAAGCAGGCGTCATGCATGTTTGGAAAGCAAATGAGACAAATCTTTCATTATTTTTTTTAAGCCGAGACCAGTCTGTGTCTACAAGCTTATAACTTCCCTCTCATACATTATTAACCATTTAGTAAACAGGTGGGTTTTGAAAGTGGTTTCACTAGGTACATTGACAAAATATGACAGGAAATGGATACTTATTTTTTCGTATCATTGTTGTTTCAGGTTTTTTGTTGTTAGAAAATGTAAAATATCTCTCTACCTAAGGTATGCTGGCAAAGGAACATAATTGTATCAGGTTGTTGATGTGACTGTTCTATTAACAGCCTATGAAAAAGATTCTGTATTGCTGCTCCACGATTGGACTCTGAAGTATTTATTAGAAACAGATTTATATACCTTGGCATAACCTTGATCCAACAGTATGCTTCAGCACGTTCGAAGCAAAAACGTGCATTAGTAGTACAGGTTTCAGTGGATAATCAGGATATTAGCCTATGCTTAGACTCCAGCACACGCGTAAATATTTGCCTGAACAGTGGCCTGTTAACCACTGTGACCTGAAAAGAACAAAGCATACAGAACCAACGGGATCTTAAATACTGCCGTTGCGTACGGACGCCGCTTACTCACAGGTGCAGCCAGCGAGGTGCTTGGCTGCTACAGTGAAAAATCTTCGTTTCAAGTTCATGACTTGAAACCTCAGCAAAGACTCCAGTGCCTCTGAGCAAACAGCTTGGGTAACACACACTTCCAGAGCCTCATTTTCACAAAGACAGTAAAAACAGACGGTGCCTGTCACCAGGGTGGGCTTGTTTCGATTTCTCGGCTGGCTGCCCGTGTGTGCGCGTGCCTGTACGGGCACACGTACAGTCCCGGGACCGGTGCAAGGGATGCGCCTTGAAAAACGGTATCTCTGACTGTTCACAGATGGCTGAAATTCAGGTCAGTAATTACCTTGGGAAAACATGCACATACTGCCATTAAAAAAATACAAATATGAAGAGTTTTCTTTAAAGTCTTAACATTTAGAAAGCCTTTAAAGTTTAGGAAATTTAGAATTTGTACTCAAGCACCAAATTTCTAGCCTTGAGAAAGCTTTTGGGTCAGATTTATAAACTGTTACTTTGTAGCCTTGAATTTTTTGTGCTGGTGGTTGGTCAGATGCAGGGGGGGGGATTGACTTTTAATACAAACTGGTCTAGGAGGGAGTCCTGTCTGGACACCAAAACTGTCATTTTTTTACCTATAAAACCTAGTAAATACTGTTAAGTATCTTGCTATAAGTAACCAGAAGAAAGTGATGTCTAACTTAGCTGTGGGTGCCTAAGTCAGCCCCGGTACCTTCATGGGGCTCTTCTTACCGGCCGAGCTGTCACCAAATGTGTGATCTTAGCGCCCTCCGTTAGGCGAGCCAGGTTCCTGCATGCTTATGTGTGTTTACACGTGCACTTTTGTTGGCAGCTCTCATTTTACATCATACCTGTCACAACCCTCCACATGTACAACCCTTTATAGCTGCGGGGTTCAGTGCAAGGAGATACATTACTAGTACATCAGTAACTCGATGCGTGCTACAACGTGCATTTGTTCTTATGTAGAAACAATTAAAACTGTGTTAATAGGGAATATTACTCAAACCGCATTCAGCTTGGTACTTGCTAGAAATTAATCATAAATGGCTTTATATATCTTGTTAAAAGAACAAATGAGAAGACTTTTACCCAAACTAGGCATTATTTCTCTCTTGGGTACAAAGATGTGTAACAGCAAAGTTTGATCTAACACAAAAGAGAGCTCTTTCCTCCTTTATCCTTTCTTCCTTCTGAGGCGTTTGCTACATTTTGTGAACGGCAGGGCAGAGAGGAGAGGAACACGACACTCGAACCTTGCACGATTACTTTTCTTTGATTTGTCACTGGAGGGTGACAGTATGGGCTGGATTCCTGACACACACACCGAGAGGATTGTTTCAGGACACAGCTAACAGCAGATGAATTTCCACCCAGTGAGAACTAAACAGAAGGAAGTCTTGAGAGCCCTAAGGGCAAGTCAAGAAAAGTGTGAACTCACAGCATTCCACAAAGCTAGCAGCCTTTAGTCACGTGCAAAAAAGTTCCCAAACTGAAGTAACATTTGAACAATCGTCACCCGTTTGCGCTTGATATGAGGTGGACGAGATGAACATTTCTTTATGCACAAAACCACAAACTGAGAAACAAGCAAAAGCTGAGTAAACTACACTGAACTACAGACAATGCAGATTAAATTCTTCCTTTCTGAAAACAGGCCCGGTGCAAGCTGACAGATGATGCGCCCCTGCACTGCAGGAGCTCTCAAAGCACGGCGCCCGACTTGCGCCTGTGGCTTGACAGAATGCTGTTGCTGTGCGCTCCTGCTGCCGCTGGCCTCGCGGGCGGCTGAAGCACTCATCGGTGGGCCGACCAGCAGAGCTGCTGTTTGCTCACCCTGCGGTGACAGCACACGCGGGCCTTGTGCCACTGACAGACGGGAGGAGAAGACGGGGTTTGCTCCCTCTTCAGCTGACGGCTGCACACGGGCCACCCGTTGGTTCCCAGAACCAACAGGAACACGCAAAGTGAAGCGTGTATTGTCAGCTCCTGAAGTGTCAAGTCCAGGGGTACGTGGGGCAGCGTCACCACCTGACTGGTCAGTCTCTGAGGTCTCGATAAGCAGCAGCCACTGACAGGAGGAAAAACACTCCAGCAAGGCTGCAGGATGTACAGGAAAGCAAGAATCCTTTTTAAGAAGAACTAACAACAGTACTTTCCTCTTTTTACTTTGGAAGAAAACTAAGAGAATAGTAAGATCTCTGCTCCTAGTACTGCCCCTTTTCCTTATTCTAGCTCAAGAGCATATTGTATAAGGTACATCTCCCTGGGTCCTCATCTGCTTGTCTTCTGGTCTCCTATGTGAGATTTTCTTCCTTGACCTTACCGGAGCAGAGACAAAGGTGAAGCCCATGTTTTGTGAGGGCCTGAGGAAGGCTGGAGGGGAAGGAAGGATGGCTTCTTTCCGGCCTGAGCACAGTAAAGCCGTGTTCAGCGGTGACGACAAAACGGAGCTGGTACTGACAGCAGAGTATTCATCTGTTGACAGTACAGTCAGGCACAGTGGGTTTGTCGTCCCCTCCCGCCCCACAGGAACGTTGGGGTATGTCCTTGAATGCTGCATGGACTTGACTTCTTTTACAGGGCTGAGGTCCTCTGCTCATTTCTTCAGCTTTGGGGTTTTTTTGACAAGTAGCAGAATTCACCCTCACAGTACCAAAATGAAGATGGCATTCACACCTCCTGCAAATCTTGATAATATAATTTAAACGCTCCTCTTCCATAAATTAATGGAAGAATGTTAAATGCTGCTACTTCAGCTGTCATCAGCAGGTATTTAAGCTAATCTGCTTCACGGTGGAAAGGTACTGCAGTATTTTCCCTTGCAAACAGGAATGGAGGCAGTACCCCCAGGCACTGCTCTGCTGCCTCAGCCATCTTACTTTTTTTCATTCCTCCTTCATAAAACAAGCTCCTGTAAGCCTGAGCCTTTCTCACAAGATTTTGCAAAGGTTTCAGTTTGTCAACCAGATGTTAGTGATACTTCACAGGCACCTTCTTGAGTGCCGCTGAGTGCAACCACATTCAGTGATTAAATACTTGTGCAATCAGGTCACAGGTATTTCAACCTTGTTTACAAGTCGGAAAGACCATGAGTGACAGGAGAGGAAGCTTTGCAGAAGGTAGCTCAGCCTGCAGTGTAAGAACAAAACAGGAAAAATACCAAGATTTGCATTCTGGAGGGGACAAAATGCTGTGCAAGTAAATCCCTTCATTTCTTGTACTCTGTGGCTCATTATTGTGGGCTTGTTCCTTTCTCCAAACTGGATCAATGTAGAAATGTGGAAACAACTTTAAAAGTTCTAAACTAATTTTTAATGAGCGTATTTCCAGTAGTATTTGCAACACCGAAAACACCCGGTAACAAAAGCTCACAAATCCGGTACAATGGACTACTAGGAAAAACAGGACAAAAGATGGAGTAAACCAGGCAAGGGCACTCAAAAAGGCACTCAAAGAGAGTGACAGCAATTCAGTAGTTTGGTTTTTGCTCTCCCAACTACCTTTTCTGAGGACCTGTGTTAGCACTAAGTGACGCTAAGAGGATAAGGCGATATACAAATTCTGGTTTTAATCACACGCTCCCTTTAAAACATTGTCCAAGCGTACCAGTGGATGTTTGTAAAACTTTGAAGAAAAAATAAAATGACCGAGGCCATAGACTTGATTCCCTATCACATTTCATTGTTACAGTACAGCAAACAAGAGAAAGTCTTGTTTCTGTCGTAACTGCTGTAACGGTTCACCATTACTGCCAAGTCTGTTGACATATAAAGAAGGTGTTTCTGCTATATTTTCACTGCTAATGGTTCACTGTTCCATCCTAGAAACACCTCTTGTCATGCACACGCTTCCAGGAAGACAAAGTTTTAAATTTTTCTGTGGTAGTTAAAGCAACGCCAGCATTTAAACCAGCTTCACATTTCCGTTGGTTACCGATGCCGCGGACGTCACGCCCAGCGTACAAAAGCTGTTGGCGTTTTACCTGGTGAGGTGCGGAAGCGACACTGTCCGGTCATCGGATCATACTCCTGGTTCTCATCGGAGCACAGGCACAGGAAAGAACCATCGACATTTTCACAGAGGGCTTCACCACAGACTCCACTCAGCATTTCACATTCGTTCACATCTGGGGAAAAAAAGCGAACCATCAATCAATTCCGACCCGTTCCTGACAGGGTGTTCTTTTATCGGCTGTACCTGTGCCAGCATTGTCTGCCAGACTGCAGATGTGACCTCTGGGGAAGGATTAAAAACTCACTGATACCTAAGTGGGTTCATAAACAAGTAGTCAGTCCTTTGAAATGAAGGCCCCTGAAAGCCAGGGCAGTTTACAGACTATTGGTGCTGATTTGGTGCTGCTGGTACACCAGAACACTGGCTTTCCTTTTGTCAGGCGTCTTTCTCATCTTTAAATATTTGCTTTTCTTTATACCCTCTTCTTGGGTTTTAAGATTCAGGCTAATTTATTTTGTTTTCTTAATTTTATAAGTTTGGTAACTTCCACTGAACTCAAGGAGCAAAATTAGTAGGTTTCAGTGCAATTCAGACTGCACTATTTTCTCCCCAAACCCCATTTTCCTCATGAGCATCCACTGAGCAGTGAATTCCTCAGCCCCAAGCCCCACTGCCACCATGTGCCTCTTGGGTGCACAGCCTCACAGGCTGCTCTCGAACCCCAACACTTATGCCCAGGGC